CCTGAGTTTCCTGTCATATTCAGGGTTTCTACTTTCTTATTGACCGAAACTGGTTACCATGGTCGTAAAAAAAACGATACGCGAGATGATATGATAATAGAAACAGGAACTCAGTGCAATAAATTATATCTTTTGTCATGAACAGGGTCTATAAATTTGAGTTTTTTTGTCATAAACAGGGTGCCCCTTTCAGAATCCCAGCGGAACACCCCTACCAAAATTCTGGAGGAGTACCCCCCCCCCCTCCCCCCGGGTAATCGATGAATCTTGAACACTGATAGAATCGAACCAATCGTCCCTGTTGGGTAGCACTTAATAGCCAGTGGTTAAAAAACATGTGGCCTTCATATTTAACGTTCGACAGTAGTGCATATGTTCTGTCAAGCTGTTGTAAGTCCAATTTGTAGTATCCATTACCTGTGGCGAGGGTTGGAGTGAGTAATGGAGTACAATTGGTTGCGGGTCGATACTTTGATTCCCACAAAACCGCTGCTTTTTCACGTTAAAAACAAGAAAAATTACCCAATTGATACCTATTTAACTTGCTCTATCGGAATTTGGTGGTTTTAGTACAAAAATCCAAAATTGTGGAAAATCAGGAACCGGATTGTCTTATTGGATTGGATTTTTCTCTAGTGGAGTGTGGGATCGACACCAAACTTTTATTTGGTATTTCAACTTAAAATTGATCTAAAAAGTAAAAGACTACTCGAGGAATTGCTTTGACGCGGTTAGTTTTGAACTAAATGAAAAATGTGCTGTTTTAAGAAGAAACAGTTTATAAGGGTACCCAGTGAGAATTTGTGAATTTATTCAACATTTTTTACGATTTTTTCTGAGCTTCTATCAAAAATAAACTCATAAAAGCATTTCAAAATATCTCACTTGATAACGATCCAGCTCCTATTGACCTTTCCGACTCCTATATGATCCTTTTGTGCGACTTTTGTGATAAATTATCATAAATAAATAATCTCTTTATGCTACAAAAATTCATTTGGCCCTTTACTAAAATTACCATTTCCATTTCTCCCATATGAACCTTAAAATTGCTACTGAAGAAGTGTGTTAAGTTTTAAAAAACCTACAAAGTGTCCTACAAAGTGGAAGTCCATAATTACATTTAGACCTAATGGGGTTCCTGTGGTTTCATTTCCGGTATACAGCGAGGGACCTGAACACTATTTACCATATATGGGTATCGTATGCCAAACGGTCAACAACCGCCATTTTTGAATATTCACTTCTTCATTCGAATATTTTCACTAACTCTTTTACACAAGTTTTTAGATTATTTCCCCTCTAAATATCACTTTAGATGCTGAAACACCACTACGAGCTACAGATAAGAGCTTGAATTCGATAAAAAGTTTAAGAAATTGCGGGTTGAAGGGCAAAATGAGTGAGGAAAGCTCAGTGGAATCCAACGATTCGCCTTCACGTGCCGAAGGTAAAAACATACTTCTTTTGATCTGTTTTATCTTTCTTTTTATTTCTCCTACCTGGAAATATTTTATTGTAAATTGTTTGGGAGCTTTGACGTAAAATTATTATTTCAATTTACGAAGCTTTTTGTTTTATATGAGATACTTCTGGATAAAAAAATGTCTCGGCTTTAAGATATTTTCAAAATTTTTATTCTCTAGCGATCGATCTCCTGAATGTTTCTCTTTGGGAAAAAATATGTGAAAAATAAGTCAATTCAATGAAATAAGAACATATCTTAAACTATAAAAGGACAACAACGCAGAAGTTTTTTCGTTTCATAATCAGAAATATTAAATCATTTGTCACTTTTGTTTAATACGGAATATTTACTGTTTGATCTGTGAGTTCGTATTTTATTTTTACAAATCTGTACATTGATCGCGTCCAAAAGGATCTAGTTTAAATAGATTGGATATTTTTTAGTGATTATGTTATATTCTGCAAAAGATATGGATGATTTATATCTTTTTTATCAGAAGGCAGTATCTCCGGCATGGAGACAAGGGTTTGTATTGTGGGAAAGAAGAATTTTGAGAATGAAGAACTGTTGAAGGCTTTGGAGGTAAAAAAAAGTTCTGTTGTGTACATTAGTTTAGGACGCAATGCCTGTTATAAATGGCTTTGATAAACCTTGAATCAGATATGAGGATTAGATGATTTATAAAGTATTTAATTCATTCTAAGATCTCCCTTGAGATATTGCTTTTTTATTTTAGTTCTTTGATTGATTGTCCTTGAAGTGTTAGTCAGCTAACAAGACATTAAACTTTGTTGGTTCTATTTCAATGATAATATAATGGTAGATTGCATACCACACATCCATGAAAAATATACTGCCATTTTTATAAACGTGCAAACTCTGTAACTGCAAGCTGCACGCTGAAATTTTACTTTTTCTCAACCGCCAGTCAAAAATATGAAAGGTACCAACTGATTAGTTTTGATTGACGGCAGCAAAAAGCAAATTTCAGTGTGCAGCTAAGGACTACGGAGTTCACATGTTTAAGAAAATAGCAGTAACTAGCAAATATTGTACTAATTAGTGCAAAGTTTTGTATGTCTTGGGTTTACTGAACTTACTATACCTTGCCAAATTTTGCAAGTTTGTGCAGTTTCTTACAAAGGTTTTCAATGATATGTAATATGCACTCTAGTAAAAAGTTTATATATTCTAATATAGTCTTTATTTACTCACTTCAGACTCTTAAAATCCCTACCATAAAAACAGAAGACACCAAAGACATCCTTAAAACAATCAACGATGAAGTAGAAACAGTCTTTGTCTGTGACCCCTTTGAAGGGGAAGAATTCCTCAACCTCCACAGAGAAGAACAAAGAATCATTGGTCCACCTGTTGTACTGGCTTGCGCCAAGAACAACCTAACCCTCCCATATAATTCCCGGCCGCTCTACTGTTCCATTATGGCTAATCATATCATTTGTTTCACTGGGTTCAAAAAGAAGGAAGAAATGGGCAAGCTGTGTAACTTGGTACATCACATGGGTGGAAGCATTCGGGGTGAGCTGAGTGGGCGGGTAACGCACCTGGTAGCAAGCTCTGTCCATGGACATAAATATGGGGTATGTTATAACCAGAAAATACTTTTTGTATCTTAAAAGTACTTTGCACAAAGGCTTGGATAACCACGTTAATGTCAGTCCTTCGCAAATCAACTAGAGGCAAGAAAAGAGGACCACAGTTTATCAGTTAAATTACTGTCTTGAAAGTCTCATCCTGTATAAGCAAAGTTGATTAATATTGTTTATTTATTAAAAACGGATGTATTAAAAAAAGATAATCTATTTATTATTATCTGATAATGTATTTATTATCCATACTTTGTCTTGTATAGACTGCAGTTAGTCTAGGAAAACCAATTATGACAGTGGACTGGATCTATGCTTGTTGGGACAAGAAATTGGATTTGTATGTATTTATTCTCATATTTTAAAAATCCAAAGACTTTGGCAAAAATTTGTATTTATTTAACAAATAAAACAGTTTTTTCCATGCTCCGTTTTCACTAATAAAGCACAGAGGAAGTGGCCAGTGCTTCCTAAGTGGTTTATTACTGAACAGAGCATGGAAAAAGCGATTTTATTCATTTTATTATATAGTTACTAATTTTATTTTGGTATTGAATTTATTTATGCAAAAAGAAAGACGGTAGCAGGATCTAGCAGCACTTCATGCGCGCGGATGGCATCAGCACTGTGCTCCATTCACTAAAAAAGCACAGTTTTCAACCAATCAGTGCACGCATATTATCCTAACTATATGATAATATTAATAATACATTGTTGTTTCTAGGAATGTGTCTGCATCTAGTGACGAAATGGTAAGTTTTCGTTGTGGATTACCAGTATGTAATATGCTATAATAAATAGAAAAAGATAGTTCCAAAGGTGAAAATCATTTTTGATTACAAACATGACAAACGAATGAATGTTTTTTAACTCATGGACAATATAGCATATTAAAAAGAGCTTTATATTTATCTTTTTTTAAGGACAAATTCAAAATGGCTCCTTTCCATGGTTTGTCATTGAGTTTTTATGGTTTTTCTGACGAGGAGAAGAAACACATGGAAGAGTCAACTGAACAACAAGGTATAATAATTAATAATCCCAAATGATAATTTGTAAATAATAATAATAATAATAACTTTATTTATTTATATAGTCCTATTTCCATAAAAAGCCCAATAGTGCTTAACAATTAAAAAAAAAATGAATGAAAATTTACAATTATGTATCACTAACGCATTGAAGTAAATAAATATCTATCTTATAAGTTTATTTAAAAATAGTTTATCCAAGTATAAGTTTACATTAAGTTAAAATAATATTAAGTTATTATTAAAAATTTTATAGCTTATCATAGTTACAAGGTACCGCTTAAAATAATGTTCAGTATTCATTTTGATTAATAAAAATAATTATTCATCAATCATCAATCATTATTAATTGTTGATTTTCCCAAATGGTTAGGTGGTAAATTTGTCGATTCAAGTAATGCGAGCTGTACTCATGTAGTGGTGGAGGATGGAGTTAAGGAACTTCCTGATAACATCAGAAACTCGTCACAAACATTTGTAGTAAAACAAGAGGTAAGCATGCATGTCAATCCTATGACTTTTGTTGCCTGTTTGTCAAAGTAAATATTTTGCAAAGGTCTTGAAAGCAGGGATTGGAAAAAATCGTAGGATAAGTTACTACAACCTCAAAGATACCACCATCCGGTTAGCTCAGTTGGTAAGAGCGTCGGTCTGTTGTGCAGGAGGTCGTGGAATGCCTCGGCTGGATCAACACTCAGGGTCTTAAAATAACTGAGGAGAAGGTGTTGCCTTTGTAATAATATCTGCAAATAAATGGTTAGACGTTCAAGTGGCTCGTATGACCACTTTAAATGGTGGTCCTGTCTCTTCACACTTACTAACCAATATCGGAGTGACATAAAAGAACCACTGAGGACGTAAAGAAACCCTGGCWGTGACCACCCTCAGTGCCTACGCCTCATACTAACCACCTCTCGTTCAAAACTCATTGTGAAGCGCCTTTGAACATATGCATACGGAAAAGAGTGCTATATAAATAGATATCATTACCAAATTCTACTGGCAAATTTCAGATGATTAAATAGTTAGTGTGTGCGCTTTTGGTGGAAAGCATATTGTCTTCTAACTAACCAATCAGAGGCGCCCTGTATTTGGAAGGCACGTTATTGTTTTCTAGATAACCAATCAGATTTCGCGCTTTTCATGGACAGCATGTTATAGACTTCTGACTGAGCAATCAAAGTGCGAATTTTCATGGAAGATATGTAAATGTACTTAACTAACCAACTGCTGTGCGCGCTTTTCGTGGACGCACCTCATTAATTTCTTGAACTAACCAATAAGAGTGTGCGCTTTTTTATATACGCTTCCAAAACCGCTCTCTTTAAATAAATATAATTCTTTAAATAGAACCATATTAAAACTTATTAGAACTTATATTAATTTTGTACTTGAAAATTATGTTTTATCGTTGTTGATAATGATGATCTCATTATCAATCTAGTTCATGCCGTCAATCAACGGCAAGGTTTTCATTAAGTTTTGAAATGATAAGAGAGGGTCATGAAGTAGCCGGAGAGTTTAAACATGTTACAAATTACTGAGATATAAATTGTAGTTCAAGTCAGATAATTTTGCTCATTTACTGGTGCATTCTCTGAACCCTCACCGGCCTTATTCAAACCCCTAATACGTCTCCTCCAGCGAAACAAAAATTTTTTGGTGAATCTAAAACGTTAAGAAAAATGCCATGAATTACAAAGATTGTTTCTGTGATATTCTAGCACACAAAACATTTTAACAAAAATTTATGAGATCGTGAATATTGTGAACACGACGGGAAAGCAAAAAAAGTACACATTTTCGAGTTTTGAGTTTAAAAAAAATACTTTTAAACTAATTGCGATTTTAAGTTTTGATCTCCAAGAGAAGAACATTTGAACCCAAACAGGAAACCATTTATTAAAGTTTTCAAGTCTTCACTAAAAATCCAGACTCGAAACTCGAAAACTGAAATATCCCTGACCAATGAAAATGAAATGCTTTCAGCATCTAAAGTAACCAATACACAGGAAGTATAACCGTACGACGAAAATAAACAAAAATACTCGTGTTAAATAATCCAATATATCTGTCACATCATGGCTCCAACATTCTCCAAAACTGAATTACAACCTCCTGTTGATAACAGTGAAGATGCTTTACTATCAAAGGCAAGTTAGTGACTTGAATGCTGCTGGTATAGCGTCTAGGAGTCTGTACGAGATATCTAACCATGCTGCACATTAGGGAATGGTGTCGGTCGAGGCGTTGAGACAGGGAATCGAAAAATCCTTTTTTTCTTCTTGTATTCACACAAAATTCTTCTGACTAGAAGCAAAAGTTTTTATATCTTAGTTTGCGACGACTTAAAGAACTGTATAAGTTGTTTTTATTTGCCCAATGTCATGGTTATTGTAGCTATTTTCAGTCATTATATTCTCACTTTATTTCTTTCTTTCATCCTATATTTTTATATTGCTTATTTCTATGATATTGTCTTATTTATTCTAGTGGTTTTGGGCAAGTATTCACATGGATGGATGTGCTGATGAATCGCTCTACCCATTCACCTCCACCGTAAGTTTTCACCATTCATTTACTGAGAATTTATTTATTGTTTATTCATTGAAAGCGAAACATGCAATCTCAAAAACAGTAGTAGTCTTTGTAATATGATGCCCGTTACATGCAGCCCTTAACCTTTGTTGTACCTAGTCAAATCAGATCAAAGATCGCCTTGATCTTTTGTCTTTGCTGCACTCGATACATTTAAGGTTCAACGTCTATGCCCAAGCTGACTGCATTACACTGCATTGGTTTGCACAGACTGCGGCGATTTCTACACTATTGTACACTTTATGCCTTAAATTTCAAAGCAACTTTTGCACTTTGCAAAGTGCTGTGAAACAAACGAAAAAAAAGTATATTTCAAAAACTTTTTCGGTCATACTCGTAATAATTTGACCGCTAATTACGGAGTAATAAACTAATCAAATAAAATAGAGTGTGTATTAGGCGAGCACCTGGAGCTAGGGCCAATTAGGCCATTAGAAATATACAGTGTTCCCTTCATTAAGCGAATGCCTACGGGACCTTGCATGCCTTGTGTGCGCTGTATATAGGCTTGTTTTACGATCGACATAGTAAGAATATTCCGGTTATTATCCGAGGTAGTGTCCGTCAGATAAAGGGTGTCTGCTTAATAGAGGTATCGATGTACCACTACTTCCCAGAGGTTCATTAGATGTCACATGTTAAGCATATAGACTCCCGTCTAGGGGTATTAGGCCGCAAGGATATCAAATGCCAACTTGAGGTCTCAAAAGAGGTCCGCGTCAGAGGCCAAAATTACTGTAAAAATATTTTTGCTGTAAAAATACTTCTGGCTAAATTTTTGAGACTATTTTGACACCTGTCGAGTTTAACTCGGTATTTAAAACTCATTTCGCTTTTATTCCTTAGATTAAAACCTAAATAAAGATAGCTCACCCATTTTTGCAGCCCAAAAACAAACTTCCCTTTAGTTTTTAGTTCCTCATTCTACAGTCCACATCACCTCAGAAAATCTTTCAATTATACCATGATTTTGTTTTTTAAATCCTTTGCGGTTTTCATATCTTTAGGAGGTTTTATTACTTTTGATTGTTTTTGTTGTGGAATCACGCGTCAGCTCATTCCTATAAGTGGTCTTTCTTTTCAAGGACATGCGAACTCAGAGAGGGTTGCGTGTTGTAAGATATTTAATGTAGTATTAGTGACTAGGGAGTAGAAACACTGCCAAAAGAGGCTTCGAACTTTAAGTCTAACATGTAAGAATAAAATAAATTTTTATTATTTTCCGCAATGTATATATCCTGAAGACCATATCGAGCGTTATTATCGTAACATTGCTCGTCTTTGTGCAGCAAAATAGCCATTCCAAGATTGAGAAAAAAACTGGGTCGAGCCGTTGGCATTGCAGTGCATTGTGGGACACTTTTCTAAGATGGTATCTATTTATAAGTCCCATAGAACAGCCCCACAATGCACTGCAATGCCAACGGCTCGATCCAGTTTTTTCCTCCACCTCGGAATGGCTTATATACTTATAAGATTTATGTCTTGCGATTTGTGACAAACATTCCTCGTCGATAAGGAAGATTTGTCTTAATTTTCAAAATGACTTGAGCTTTGACTTTACCACTTTTCGAGGGAGAGGGGATGAGTTTTATGAGCTTCAAAGATGTACACCATTTAAATCAGTAACCATTTAAATCTCACCAGCTCGCCTTCTATTCCTCTTTTTAAAGCTTGCTTTTCCATAACGTTAGCAAAAGAAAGTCCAGTACTCCAGTTTCGAGTTCTCTTTGCTCGGCCTTACTCTCGGTTTTGCGTTAAAATATTTTGCTATTCAACCAATACCCGTGGCATTTTAATCAACTCGTATTGTACCGTAGTACGTACATTCCTTACTATAAAATGGACCTTAATTTTTTTTTAAATTGTACACAATCGAGGCTTATAGCAAAGGCAAACTCGAAATGGGAGTATTGGACCTCTGTGTTGTGCTTGCGTTGGACCCAATAAAAAAACTCTTAGGCTAAGATCGCTAGTAAAAATCAGGTTTAAACGACCCAGATATACAAGTATGCATCCCTTCCTCTAATTATTATTATTATTTCTTTTGTTGTTAGCCTCATGATCAAACCACCAAGCAGAACACTCCGGCCAGCGTAGGACGAAAACGAAAACGCAAAAAAATCAAGGAATCTGACATCACTGACCTGCTATCCCCAGACTCTCCTCTATTCAAAAACAAGAGAAAGAGTGGGGACTTGTTATCAGTCTCTGGTTCATTGCTCGACTACACGCTTCTGTCGCCCGCCACCCCAGTAGCTGGACGAGGTCAGTAAAGTTTCAATCGATAGATCGTATCCAAATCTCTAAAAGTAGCGCGGAGACTCGTATATACAACGAATTAAAAACGAAGCAAATAGACCTAATCGCCGGTAGACCATTTGTCATTCCCTTGAGTATTCTTGCTTTTTCTATGATACTACGTGATTATCAATTTGACGCAAAGACCCTTATTGCCTAGTGAATATTAATAACGTGATCTGAAATGGGAAAATAATACGTCCAACCAATTTAGGTAGATTGTCATCACTTACCTCGTTTTCGTGTTTATCAAGACATTTTTCCGCGCGTCTTTTAGAGATATGAATAGGGTTGTGTGGGTTAACTCCTTGTTGCATGTTGGTACAGATTAAGTAGTAATATGCGATATTGATATGCGTGCTTGTTTTTATCAGGCGATGCCACACCCAGTGGTACCATCACCCCTCTTAGCACCCCTAAACCTGCTCCAACAGCAAGACAACAAGTTACCATGGAACTACTCCAAACAGAAAAGAACTATGTTGGAATACTGACTACCATATTGAAGGTATGTGTCTAAGAAGTGTTGACTCTGCTACGACTTTAGCATGTACTACTTTGAAGTACAGGAGTCCGGAGGACTTATTCACTCCCTCGCAGTCGCTATCAGTGTCGTCACGCAAAACAACTTTCATCTTACGGACCCGAGAGGGGAGGGGTGGGGTAACCTGGTAACCACCAACTCTTGAGGTAAATTTAAATCTTGATTTTGTCCTCAAATATCTACAAAACTAAAAGTAAAATAGCGGAAATGAATGAACTGTCTATTTGCATGTATGCTAAACAACGTATTGGTGTATAGAAATAGTCACTACAGACCCCCAGTATCAAGTATTTCAACAGGTCTTTGAGGGGGAGGGGGTGGGGTATTACTGGTACCTACCACCTAAATCAATCAAATTAGGTTCATATCATTAACCATTGACTTGACCTTGTTCCCTAGAAAAAAGGATTTGAGATACCATGAAGTCACACCCTCCCTCTCCCTAGTCCGTTCCAATGCGCAAAGGATATACTTTACTAATTATTACTTGGTTCATATTTTCGCAGGTGTTCAAGGAGCCCCTCGAGACCGATCCACGTGGTCCTATCGTACCTACAGAGAGTATCAAAACCATATTTGGTAGTCTCCCTGACATCCTCGATGTACATACTAAGATCATGGTAAGTAGTAACTTTCTCTCTTTGGGTACCCTGTGTAGAAAGTCCCAATCCCACGAGAGGAACTCGCTTTCATCCAGGCTAACCAGGGAGGTGGTGAACTGGGATAACTTAACATACATAACGAGCGCGCAGTAAGATAAGAGTAATAATATTCTTGGTGCAAATATTTGTACCGTCCCATGCATTGCTTAAGTAGCTTACGGCAGACGATTATCGCGAAAGCCTGTGAAACCCAGAGTAAACTAGCGAGGGCTAAAAGTAATGCAAAACTTATAGCTTGTGTTGCTCGATATTCTGCGGGGTTGCGAAGAAGACAGGGACCACGAACAACACAAGCTACGAAGCTTTAAGTAGCTTCTTACATTGTTTCCCTGTAATGTACGTCTAATTGGATGAGCAGAAGCTTCACGCCTGTTTTGATGCCTATGTTTTCACTCTATGTAGGAAGAGATAGAAGCCATTATATCTTCCTGGTCAGAAGACAAGTGTATTGGAAAAGTGATTCTTAACCACGTAAGAAACCAGACATGTTAACGTTTTATAATGAAATCGTATTCATATCGTTAAACATGAAGAAATATAGCCAAAGGGAACCCTGTGTGGCTTTAAAATCCCTAGCTTGCAACTCCTCGGGTCACAACTCCTCGAACGAGGGGGGTAGGGGGGAGGGGTAAAACTATTTATAAAAGTTTCGGAACAGCAAAATAAGGTAAACAAAAATTGCGCAACTTGTTAAACGAGGGATGAAGAGTGAACCCAATTTGTAACTTCTCGTAATATCTCACAATTGTATCTTCTCCTCAGGCCGACGTACTGTGCAAGGTCTATCCGCCTTTCGTTAACTACTTCGAGATGAGCAAAGAAACTGTTAACAAACACGACAGAGAAAATCCTAGATTCCATGCATTCCTCAAGGTATGTTACCATAGTGATTGTTGACATAGCTACCCTAGTTAGACCATTAATAATCTTCATATTATTTGGCAGGCTTGTTTGAGTAAATCAGAATGTGGTCGTCAGTCTTTGGCTGAGCTGCTTATACGACCCGTGCAACGGCTACCGAGTATGAATCTTCTATTATCAGGTCAGTTTTTTTTGAAAAGAGTGTGGTATGACCTGCGCGCAAAGGTCCTTTTCTACCCTGCGTCTTTTTTGTTAGCTTCTTGTTGCAAGACTAGGCAACGGGGCGAGCAAGTGGTTTTCCATGCGCGCGCCGTCCTCTCCAAGTGCGCGGGCAACGTGTTTGTTTATTTGTTTGTTTATTTATTTATTTATTTGCTTGTTTGTTTGTTTATTTATTTGTTTGTTTGTTTGTTTATTTGTAGTGCCAGTACTGCTGCTAAACTGCTCTTCCGTTCTTATATTTGGAGACAACGAATAATACATTTTTTCATTCTTCCCTCCAGATATTCTCAAGAGAACAGACAAGAACAATCCTGATTACGTGCCTCTTATGCAAGCATCTGACGCCCTGAAGAACGTTATGATGTAAGTATGATTCCAAATTTACCCATACATTTCCCACACAACCTCTCAGTGGTAAGCATAGTATTGCTGAGTTGAATTCGCAAATGCCAAATGCGGAACTTTTGCTCCCCCCCCCCCCCGGAATTTAGTACCGCAACCCTATGCATTATGAGATCAAGAGTGGTGTTTTGCTAGTGCACTCGCCTCTCACCTCTTGGATATCAAGTTTGATTCCTGGACTCAACATCCCAAGAGAGAAGAGTTTGTGGGGTCTCTCCCTTGATTCAAGTTTTTTCTCCTGGTTCTTTGGAGTCTTCCTCCTTCTTCAAGTTCGATTTATGAATTAGCCATTCTCTGCCTTTGATGAGCGCAGAGGTCGTTTCAGGGTTTGATAAAATTTGAATATCACCCAGGAATTTTTTTTTTTTTTTTGAGCTTTGGAAACACGAATCGTAATTCTCCACTAATGTCCATATCCAGTTGTCTTTATAATATATGTTAGGTAAATCTTTGTTGTATTAATCTCATGAAACAGGCATATCAATGAAGACAAACGAAAAACAGAAGGTCAAGTACAGATGTTCGAGATCCTACGAGACGTGGATGGCTGCCCTGTAAGTATTGATTGCTGCGTGCATTTCTGCGAAATAAATTTTGTTCAATAAATTTTTGATCGAAACAACATTATTTCGTAATGATAATTATGACTATGATAATGTATCATAATTTGCGCGCAAAAAAAAAAAACAAAAAAAAACTTGGGTTGCGCGTCGAAAAGTGCGCAAAAATAATCAGTGTCTGCCAGTGGAAATTCTCTCTGAATATTTCCGTTTCCTGTCTCATAAACATTTATTTGCTTTTCCCTCCCAGGCGTACATTTTATCGTCACATCGTAGCTACGTTACTAAAGCTGATACTTTTGAGCTTGGAGACGGCGTATGCGGCAAAGGAGAACCCGTTACGATATTCCTATTCAACGACAGTTTAGAGGTACGTAAAGAAAGACTGTGACGGGCTCCCTGTGTCACCTAACACAGGTATCCCACTACTTTGATTTTGAGTTGCAAATGTAATAATCATTCTTTCTTTGTAGATGACGAAGCGTCGTGGGATGAAGATAAACAAAGCAATGAAAAGTCCTGCGGCCATTCGAACCCCGCAGAAGGCTTACAAACACTTAGAATTTATTCCTCTATCTCACGTCAGAAGGGTGGTCAATATACGAGATAATGAAGGTAATTGATACTCGCTGCCTGCAAAGCACTACTGGGAATACCACAGGTAGCCCATCCATAATTATATGTTCTCTCTGTTCAACCTCTAGATTGTCAGAATCTGTTTGGTATTATCTATCGCGTTGCTAATGAAATGAAAGAAAAGCTGTTGATGTTCAGACTCATCAACGATGACATCCAGAAAGAAGATTGGTTATATAAACTTACCATGGGCCTGGCAAATACCGCATGTACCACTGACACTGTAAGTGAGCTTAAATTCATATTTTTTGTTATCAAATCGTTGTCTAAGGCCCTGGCTAAACGAGGAAACATGTTAACTTAAATGTTTCCAAAGGTGGAAAAACTGTCAGGGAACATCGGGAAACATGTTTGTTCAATATCGGTTAGCGCATGCGCACTTTCAAGATAGAGCTAGCGTTGCTAAGTAACGAACTTTTAGAATGTTGACTTTCGTGGCTAAATGAGGAAACATTGGGAAACATTGTTTCCATGCGTCTTGGAAGCATGAGATGTTTCTGCCGCACAGCAGAAACATTTTTGCGTCTTGGAAGCAAAATTTGTTGCACGTAGCAATGTTTCGCATTTGGCTAAACTTGGAATCATCGGGGAATATGCGCGCGGGAAACATGTTTCCTCGTTTAGCCAGGGTCTAATGATTGTTTCTATTTTCTTCGCCAGGAAAACTTTGTGACAACTGTAGATCCTCAGGAGTTAATGCTGAGCAAGAGTGACCTCTCTACGGGTGGTACACTAAGTAGAGCTGTTAGGTAACACCCCATCCATGAAAATACCCCTCTCAATATCGACTGCTCAAAATTGTATGTTATTCACCTCGCACACATTATATGGATCACTTGTAACAACTCCCAGAGCTGCTCGATTTGGCGCACCCAAACAACAATTTTCATGAAGAGTAAATTGCCCTATTTCACTATGACGTCAAATCAAAACAATCTATTGTTTAAATGCAAAGGATCATGGTCGTCGGAGGGGGTCAGATCAACGCAAATTCACCGAAAATTGTTCTGAAAACCTGTATCAATCCACGAAGAGAAGTAGAATAGCCAGCAAACTCTCAGAATATTTTTAGTACATATTAACACATATTATATCTGAAAACCAGGCTATTTTAGATTAAACTGTTTCGCTAGGAGCAAATTTTGTTGAATTTTCTATTGGATTTGGCGATTCTATCCCCAATATAAACAAGCAGTGACGTCATAGTGAAATAGGGCAATATCGTCTTGTCTGCTAAATTGATATGGGGAGATTATGCTCCAATGGGTCTGATTAATCCTTAAAGTTGCATCATTTACTTAGCCTGGTGAAATACACCAAACCAGAAAAAATGTTTTTGTTCCTTGCTTTGATTTCATATCTAGTTCAGTACAGCTCACCCAAACTGTTTATTTTGATAGGGTTGCCAAACGTACAACCAGAAAAGTAAGTCGTGCCTTGTCAATGAATAAAACACCAAGAAAGAGTAACATGGTCAGACGTTCTTCATCGAAGTAAGTCAGAAAAAAATATCACCCCTTCTTTTCCTTCTTTTTTGTTTTGTTTTGTTTTGTTTGTTTGTTTGTTTGTTTTTGTTGTTGTTTTTTTGTTTGTTTTTTGTTGTTGCTTTTTCGTTGTTGTTGTTGTTTTTGAGTCCTTTTTTAAAAGTCCTTTCTCAGTCATTCTTTTTTATCTAACTTTTCCTCCATTTAATCCTCCATTTTTCATAATGTTTCTATCTTTCACTATCTTTCATTTTTCCTCATATCTCAGTTCTTTCCCTTTCACTTCCTTTCCCAACTCATCTCATCTCATTATTTTCCAGTGTTACTCCAAGTCGTGAGGTGTTTGCTGGTGCGAGTCCTTTAGCAACATCATCAATATACAACCAGAATGTACCAATAGGATTGCGCGGTAGGGCAATGAGCGTCTGTGAAGGGATGGTATGTACATAAAGCAGGAGATTGAAAACTCTCTTTTTCTTTCGTTTCCGTTATACCATTGAGAGACGGATACACGCGTATTGTGGCTATAATGGTATAAACCTCTTTACCCTGGGTGTAATATTTTACCATTTCAAACCATTTGTCATTCCCTAGAGTATCATTTCTTTGTTTAACGGTTGCACATGAGAAGGCACACGAATATGGATGCATCTTAAACAAATAATTTTATTCTCAAGACAATGACACGTGGTTTGAAATGGGAAAATATTACGCCCAAGATGAAGAGGTCTATTGAGTATTCCATGCATCTGGTTGATGTTTTTATAGCCACTAACATGGCTATTCAATAGAGAATTGCTCCAACTTTCTAATTCCCCAACATTCCATAAATTTATACTGGACAAGGGATAGACAAAACATATGTAACTTATAGAACTAACAAATACTTCTTACATTGTAAACCCGTGCGACTTTTAACATATTCTAGTAGATCGAATCCGGGTTGCCTTTGTCATACCCCACCAAACCAATGATTTCCAAGTTACTAATGGAATCAGTTGACTATAGCGTTTATCACCAACACAATAGTCCCCTTCACAGTTCCCTGCGCCATCTTGAAAGGTAACCGTGCCTTTGCATCGAAGCGAGACGAACGGTGAGCTTGCAATGATAGAGACATGTGAATAATTGTCCAAGATGTTAAAAAAGGTCTCTACCATTGCAAGCTCACCGTTCGTCTCGCTTCGATGCAAAGGAACGGCTACCTTTCAAGATGCCGCAGGGAACCGTAAAGGGGACTATTCACACAAATTTATTGACTCCACCATATTGGTAAAAGAGATTTGTTCCGATAAGAAATAGTAGCTAAATCCGCTGTTTTTAACTCTTTTTAGGACTCCGAGTTAATGGATGTCGATTTGAAAGTTCGAAGATCAATGTCAATCAGCGAAGAACGCTAGATCAAAGAACGTCTTTTTAGATCAAATTCATTGTTATATAGAAATTACTAGCTCAAGTCAATGAATAGTGGAAAATTCATTGCGAAGGGCGTTGGGTATAGATTATATTGTTATACAGTTATTCGGGCAAAACATTAGTATTATTATAATCCTTGTAATTAACATTACTTGATCCTAGAGTGAAGTAACTAAACCCGTGGGGGAGAGAGCACTAATTGTTTTAGTCAAATCCAACTAGTCGATCAAATATATGAATGCTAACAAGTTTTGAATTCAAAGTACATTTAATGTTATGCATCTCAAAGCCGGCACTTTTCGCTACTACAGTAGTAGGATATAGCCAAGTGGTAGCTCATCCAATCAGAACGCAGCATTGATGTTAGACCACTAGTTGGATTTGATTAATACACATTAGTCTCTTTCCATTGTTTTCTTTTGTGTCTATATGAGTATTACATGTTGACTAACATTTTTTTATTTCTCGGGTTAAATGTTTTCACTCCATCGCATCCTCAAAGATAACAATATATGAAAAGTTAATTCTTCCAGCACCGACTATTTCACTAATTCTTCTCTTCGAAATTCGTTCCATTAACTTATCGCGCATCATAGGCTGCGCAACGACGTAAAACCCATTCAAGTTAACAATTAGACGCGAAGACCAAATAATCTACTATTAACTCGTAAACCTTGAGGTCTAATTGTGTTAGGCTCATGTCAAACGTTGAACTCCATATGAGCCGAACCTAATGACATCAAAGAAGACCGCCTTGTTATCCATTGTTTCAATTACGTTCGGCTCATATAAAGTTCGACGTTTGACCTGAGCTTTAGCATAAATCTACTTTCGGGTAAATAAGGCTAAAAACGCGAGTTCGCCAACATTCTTTGATATCGGCTCTATTCGTAGTCCTTTATTTTTGAAACTTAATTATTTAGAATAACTTCTGAAGTAAGCACATTGAACAGTCGGTGCATCTTTGTATATAATACTTTAATCTTTACCATAATCTGTGAACAAATCTATTTTGCAAGGGATATCTGTGTCAAGCGATCTCCAAAATAACACTGACCACAGGTAACCCAAACCGTTGATCTTTCTATCTTATAAATATGCGAGTAATAAGATGATTCATGATAATTATAAGAGTGTAGTATAAAATATCTAATGGTTATCTTAAAATGATTAAAAGAGGCTAAATATTTGACTTGTAAAAACAAGGGTCACTAGACCCAGTTAATATGGATTACATCAGATGACTGATCAGTATAGGGGTGTTAAATACGAGCCCCGAGTACGATATTAGGGTGTTCAAATGGGGCAGTGTTCCATATAGGGGTGTTCAAATGGGGCAGTGTTCCATATAGGAGTGTTCAAATAGGGACAGTGTTCCATATAGGGGCAGTGTTCCATATAGGGGTGTTCAAATAAGGACAGTGTTCCATATAGGGGCAGTGTTCCATATAGGGGTGTTCAAATAGGGACAGTGTTCCATGTAGGGGCAGTGTTCCACATAGGGGTGTTCAAATAGGGGCAGTGTTCCATATAGGGGCAGTGTTCCATATAGGGGTGTTCAAATAGGGACAGTGTTCCATATAGGGGCAGTGTTCCATATAGGGGTGTTCAAATAGGGACAGTGTTCCATATAGGGACAGTGTTCCATATAGGGGTGTTCAAATAGGGGCAGTGTTCCATATAGGGGTGTTCAAATAGGGGCAGTGTTCAGGTCAAGGTAGCTAGGGCGTATTGTTTATATCATTTCAGATAGTGTTCCATTCCTTAGAGTATCTTTTTTTTTTGGTTTAATTGTGGCACATGTGAACATACATAAATATGGATGCAACTCAAACTCAAACGTATGACCCGCGGTCTGAAATGAGAAAACATTGAATTATGCCAGCAGGCAAGAAAAAACAGGCTCTTGGTACGAGATCGGATAATATACAGCATGGACTTAGTTTCTGATACACATACCATGCACACCAAGTAACAATGATCACAACTACAAAAGAAGCATTGACAAGGAATTACTCCTTCTATGAATGTATTTTGGCTAACAGGTGTGTTGTCTGTACTTCAAACTCCGAGACAACTCTTGACTCTCGCCACTGTTTTATGACATAATATGTCAATCAAAAAAACTATCTAGCGGAGTTTTCACTTAAGCGTGAAAATAAAGATACACGGCATGGGATTAACGACATCGTCCTAGCTTTGAACCGTTCTCAAGGCGTTAGCGCGAGACGACTAGCTATAAGTAGTCCAAACACATTAATGACTTTGCTGGCAGCGCACTTCCCAAATGTGCCAGACTTACTTTTGCAGTGAGTGAGTGAGTTATGTGGGGTGACGGAGACTCGACCAAACTAAGTAAAGACGTCAGTGGAACAAGCTGTTTTCATATGAGTGGGAAATTAAACACACGGTACAGACTTACTGCACGTACACGGTACGACTGTAACTTCTTCTCATTGTCTTCCAGCAATTCAGTCATTCACAGCTCGTAGTTACGTTAAGATACGGCCAAAGCACGGTTACGAATCAGTGTCATGCCGTGGTCGTTCCCCACTGATAAGAAAACCGCTTTAACACTGAGGCTTATGTTACTTAGGGTAAACGTCGAACTTCACATGCGCCGAACCTCATGACATCAAAGAAGACCGCCTTATTATCCATTGTTTCAAATTAGGTTTGACTCATGTGAAGCTCGACGTTTGGCCTGAGCCTTGATCTACACATCGATGTAAAACTGAAAATCACACATTAAAAATTAATAAGCAAGAAAGTGATCGACATCAAGACAAGACCAGGCGTCAAATGGAACCCAGGGTCGACCCCTCTACTGACAACCATTTTGTCTGCGATTCTCGCATACAGCCTACAAGGTCCTCCGCTGCCTTCTTTAATCTTCATGGGAGCAGCGAACACCTCGGCACCTTTGGGTGGAAGAAGGTGAAGGTTGGCCACATTCTCTATACCAGGGATGTTTCTTTTTAAGAGGATTAGATGAGAACCGAATGTAAGACTTTGGCCACGGTCAAAAGAAGGAGTGTCGATGCCAAAGAGTTTGATCTTGTTGTTATCGACCAACCACTGGGCCGCGACCGGATCTATTCCTTTGAAAGAAAGAAACAAGGATTCTGGTAAGTTATCAAGTCGATTTTTTTTTGTTCGATTTTGAGTTGATATTTCTCGAAGCAATAGATATTAAACTTAGTGCACTGCATAATAAACTATTGAAAATCTTAAGCTCGCGCAAACTGACATCTATGGTCGTTCTTCTTATATTAGAGGACAGAGTTTAGAGACACCCTAACGTAAAGGTTACGTAGCCCCCTGTCTTCTTTCCACTTTTTATCGTGCACCTTTTTGTGCGTAACTCTTCTAACTTTTTTCAGAGCTCTATTTCTATAACCTGCTAGGCTCGGTGTCATATGTTAGTAGAGTTGTTTGTTGGTTCTCTCCTGTGCTTCGAGGGTTTTTCTCCGGTTTTCCTCCCTCCACAAAAATTAACACTTCAATTCTAATTCGATCTGGCGTTGAATGCTTTAGTCAATATAATGGATTTAGATTTTCCATTTCCATTATTTTACAAGTTTTAAGACACATCTATCCCTACCCTTTTCCTCCCCAAAAAACATAATTGATATCCGGTACTACTCCCACTTGTTACCTGGAAAATGGAAGGTGCTGGTATTTGTAGGAGTGTTGGTTCCAAAGTACTTTTTCTTGTCTGGATAAGACCTTCCAAAACCAGTGTACATGAATACAATAGATTTCGCAGGTATTGGTCCATATGTCTTCTCCCATTCCTTCAGATCATCAACGCTCATTTGATAGTCACGGTCTTGGTCACATTTCGCTGATACATTCACCACGATAGCATCACCTACCATCGATTCAATAGGGATTTTCTCTAAAGTTATGCCAGCTTCGTTGAAGTGTCTTGGCGCGTCTATATGCGTTCCTCCATGTTCACCTCCGATGAAATCTGATATGGTAATGAAGATTTTGGTGCCAGGGTAGTGTCCCTCGAAGACCATACGGTGTTGGTACAGAGTATTACCGGGCCAGTAGATGGTGACATTCTCGACGAATGGATATGACATATCGATCCATTTTGTAGGAGCTGTACGTGCTGTGGCAATGAAAGCCAATCCGAGGACCAGTGGAAAAATCATGGTGTTGAACCGCCTGAAATAGCACGAGAATAGAGCTTTTTACCTTAGGCACAGACGAGGATCCAGGGTTATCCAATTTAATTTACAGTCAAACAAGCTCACGCGTTGACCCCTAGAGTCGATTAATGATTTGAATTTTCGAATTTTGATTTCATTATTCAGTTGAAATTTACAACGTCGAAACCGAAGATATGAAAATTCCAATCAACTTCAAATTCAACATACGACATTTTGATTGGTTAATCAGTGCTAACACAGCCGGAAGACCAAGAAAACATGGCGGCCAAAAAATAGTCTTGGACGTGTTTATGTGCCGGGAAAGCCTTTACCTGATATTATTCGACAGGAAATTGTTATCTCAGCAATAGCGGATTGTGCAATAAAGCAATTTCGCGACAACTGAAAATTTCTAGTTGGGGAGTCCAGAAAATACTTCAACATTATCGACGACATGGAACTGTGTCTCCATTTTGCTCAAGGCGGGAGCGTTCCCTACAATATTACTGATGATATACTCCAAGTAATTGAGGCATGGAAATGACAAAACCTAGTGTGTATGCTTATGAAATAAGAGAGCGACTTCTGCTCGAAGGTATCTGTAATTTAGATGATTTACCTTCTTCATCACGAGTCGAATAATGAACTGAATTTTCATGGAATATTGCAATATTGCATTATTCCGGTTAGTACGTATAAAAGGAATAATTGACTAATGATTTTATTGATCGAATCTAGGGGTCAACGCGTGAGCTTGTTTGACTGTAAACCACTAGAAATTAATATTTTCGAAATTGAAAAAAGTCAATTGTACTTAAGGAAGGCGTTCCCTCTCTCCTCTCCTCCCCAAACCTCCCCAAAAGCCTCCCCAAAACCCACAAGGAACGCCTGGCTACGCTTCCCTGCTAGCAGAGTCTCTCTTCTCTTTCTCTCCCTTCTTTCAGGCGAGGAGGAAGGAGACTCTGCCGATGTAGAGCGTTTCCTTTGATACACCGCCGTCCACGATTGTGGACGAACAAAACCAGTTTTAAAACCGGTTTTTAACCGATTACATGTAGTGCGCATGAGCAAATGTAAGGCCTATTTACACGGCACGATTTGCCGCGCGCGACTTGACGTATACGGCAAAATCAGCTCAAAATCGGGTCGTGTAAATGGTCCTACGACAGACGTACGCGGCCTCAAGACTTGTCGTAGCATTTTAAACTTTGGCTTAAAACCCTACGACATGCCGTAGGAAAATGACGTAAATATGACGATTTTGACCGAGATTGGGACTGGAACTAGCTGATTCCAAAACAAAATGGCGGATTTCCATGAAAACGTCTTTACCGGTAATTAAACACGAAGTGCAAAAATTCTGAATGTTCTCATCAAATAACAAGGTAGACATGATCATTTACTGCACTTCTCAACTGTGTATGGTGGCATTTTACAAAAAGAAACATTTGCTTTAATGACGAGTAAATTGCTCGCGTTTTTTTCGTGCCGCGTGCGACAAGTTGTGCTCGTGTAAATGGTACCAAAATTTGCCGTATACGTCAAGTCGCGCGCGGCAAATCGTGCCGTGTAAATAGGCCTTTAAGACACCGTGGCGCCAAACATTGTTTAACGAGAGCGGCTGTCAAAATCATGACAGCGTTGCTCTGTTACGCCACGCATGCGTGACAGAAATAACGTCCTACATCGGCAGAGTCTATTTTTCTCTCTCAACCAAAACAAAAGGAAAATAGGCTCTGCTATCAGGGAAGGCTACGCAGACTACTATTTTCTAAATTCTTCAAGACATTAGAGATACGCATCAAAATATTGGGGTACTTTGGAGTACTTTCCGGTTCAGTACACGTCCTAAACTGATAGGCTACTTTTCTTTGCCAAATTAGTCGAGCATGTCTTTATTTTAAGAATGCTAAAGCAATACCTTAGTATTGATATTATTACACCTTTTGCTGTTCATTAA